CTCCAGTCGCGCGAGTACATAAACAACGAGACGCGAGCAACAACAATGTAGGTAATAAGAGGAAAATATTACAAGGTGTAACGGATGAGTTTGCGCGAATCTCTCGCAACCTATTAATGGACAACGAGCCATGGCACACGTGTAATAATAATATATCGTTAACGGAATTCGCAGAGAGAGTTGGGTATAGTTTCTCGAGCCTACAACGTACAACGCGACGGGCGAAGAGAGAAAAGCAGATGCGAGAAATATTTGCGACTCTCCGGGGGGGCTATCTCGATCGCGACAGGTTCAAGCGGCAGTGCTGCAGCTCGGCCATTCCAGGTATTTACTCGAAAATTAAGGGCCTCTCGGTCTCTCTAGGAGCTCTGTTGGTCGCATAACACGCAGGCTTGACAGTCGTAGCCATGAAAAATTTCTAAATATATATCATTTACACGCGAGCGCAGCGTACCGAGTGAAAATATTCTAGACAACGACGCGATGCTGCCGCAGAGGCGACATCGTCAGAAAATCCAAAAATAATATAAACTCGGTGTCCGAAAATAAAGATCAGTGCGCGTAGTCTCTCTTTCTCTCGCTCGCTCGGTGCATCGGTGGTATTATTTTGGTCCGATGACGTTTCTGCGATGGCACATAACGTACGTGTGCGTATACAGAAGCGCCTCACTCGTGATCTCTTTTGCTCGTCTCTCGCTTGGCTCCCTTGCGCGCTCGGATTGGCGCGTGTGCACATTTACGTATAGCATAGTCGCGGAAGGGATCGCAGCTATAGTTCAGGGGCTCGATTAGATTCGCTGCTGCGGTGCAGGCGGCTGATTATTGCCTCGCAGTTTGTTCTCGGCCGGAACTCGACAACGTCCATGCGTTACAGTCATCCTTCTTTTTTCCCTTTTTTTTTGTATACTCTTTGGAGCGAACGAGCTGCGAGTTAATTTGCGCAGCAGCAGCTTTGCTCTATTATTGCGCACCTGCCAAACGATCCGATTCTCTCTCTTTGGTTTGCTTGGCAAAGAAGAAGCTTATACACACGCACGAGCTCGTTCACTTCCGGACGAGCTCGCTCGATTTGGCCGGAGAGATACGAGAGAGCAGACTCGTCTGGGCCAATGATCTTCTTATATGTATACGCATAAAGACGACTACGACGAGTGTCGTCTTGTAATAAAAGTAGTAGTAGCAGTAGAGGCTCTTTTCGGAGCTGCGCAAGCACGGCTAGGCACGGCGAGCTTTTCTTGCTCCGAGGGAGGCTCGCTAATTTCGTCCCGGTATTTCCCGCTTTTCTGCACCGCGTCTACGCGTAGAGGGCAACGAGGAAAAACGAGCATCGCGACTAAGCGAACCCTCTTTCGCGCGCAAATAGCTCCGAGTATAAGCAATGCACTTCTTCGTCTATAGCAGCGATCAATCAACCAGCGCACGAGTTTATAAAATGCACGTATATCCTCTCCTGCGAGTCGTCGAGGTGCAGTTTGCAGTGGAAAGATTTCTGCAGCGAGCAAAGACGACAAAGAAACGGAGAGGCAGCAGCAGCAGCAGCGCGAGGAGAGGTTGCCTCCTTCTCTCTAGCGCTTGTAGAGCATCGAGCGCAGCACGGACTACGTCGCTTCCGGTCCGGATACAAGACCGGTTATATGCCGCACGCGCGACTACTACCTTGTACCTATATAATGCAAGTAGCTGCACACTGCACTCGATGCGCATCGTCGATATATAACGTACACTTTAAGAACATGCATAGGTCGAGCTCGTGTGTTATTGCTCGCTCGAGCCGATCGATGCACTCCGAGTTATTTACGATAATTCGGCCTACGAGTGTAACGAGGAAAAATCGAAAGCTCTTGTAGCTTTTACAATGTGTATAATATATACGCGAAGACTGAAGAGTCGAGCGAGGGTCGTTGTTAACAGCCTAGGATTATCAGGCGTGTGAACGCAACGCTGACTAAGTACTATATTATATGTGTAGTAGAAGCAGCTTAACGATCGCTGCACGAGCATACAGTACATCGAGTCGACGTGGCGACTGGGACGGCTCTTGGTAAGGGGCACACAAGGTACGAGAGCTCTTCCGGCTTCCGGCTTCTTCCGCTCGCTACGGAAGTGCACCGGCTCCTCTTCACTCGCAGCTTGCCTCGCTTTTTTCCCCGTTCAATTGTCTGCTGTGTAGCGTGTAGTAATAGACTCTGCGACTTTTCTTCATTGGACACGCGTACGTACGTATGATCGTTATAAATTATACGAGCGCTGCGCATCGAGCTGTGCACGACTTCCTCGTCGCTCTGGACTTTTGACTCTGACCGAGAGCTCGTTTGGTGCGCACGAAAATTATACATTTTCCCCGAGTTGGCCTCGGAGCGCTGTTTTGTTTTTTCGTCAATAGAATCCAGGCTGAAAAAGAGCAGCGAGGCTACCTCTTGGAATTCCACTCGAGAAAGAAATCAAGGCTCGACGGGGGTGAGCTCTTTAATGCGTGTTTATTATAGGTAGCACTCGATGATTTTTCTCCGTGAAATTCGGGAAAAAGGACAGGTGGACACCCAACACAAATACCTCGTGCTAGATAAATATTGGTTGTTGTACGTGGCTGCGACCGAGGCGTGGGACCAGAAATTCACGAATCTCCATTTTCCCTATTTTCGTATCTCCGATGATTCGTCGATTCGAAGCGCAGCTTATGCGATCGATCGCGCTTGCATCGCGCATAAATATATACATGAGCGAGTGATAGTCGCTGATGTTTAAACAACGTTTAAACGCTCGGATGAATCGAACGATAGATTTGTCAGCGCACGAAACAAAAGTGCGAACATCTAGTTAGACGATCGATCGAGAGGATATCGTATTTTATTTGTAGCGTGTAAATTTCTGGACTACTCTTATCTACTCTGCTTGGCATTCGAAAAGCGCGCGAAAAAATTGCCGAGTCGAGGGCGAAATTCGCGTAGCACAGCGACTCTCTTTGTGTAACGGACTGCTTGATAGTGTTTCTGAATTTCATATACACAGACTAACTTACACACGTATATCGTATCGTACAACATGCAAGGCACACATGCACAGCAGCAGCGGCAGCGGCTACTGCGACAGACGATTATTTATTCTCTCAGAAGCGACGATGTTGCAGTTTCCTTATCGGCGCGCGTCTCGCATTTATGTATATTCTCGTTTCTCGTCGCTGCTCTCTTTTCTCCTTCGAATCGATGTAAGACGAATCTCCGGAGCAAGTCGCTTTTTCATTTTTCCATATTGTCATTCGATCTGGCCTGCTTGTCTGCGCGCAGTACAAAGACAAAGAAAGAAAGAAGAGAGAGAGATTACGAGCTCGGCGCGAAGGGTGGGGCGCGCGAGTTGTTTTTCTTCGCGGCGATTTAATTATATTTCCGGGATACTATACTGCACGTTTGAGGCAGAGCTCTCCGCGCTGGTCTGCGGGCCGCGCAGTCGAAGCAACATGTAATGATTCGAGCACGCTTCGCTCGATCGCGCACATACACACTGCGATGCACGGACGACGACGACGACGACCGAGACACACACTGATACGACACACACATTTATATCTGCGCGCGCGCGCGACTTCGTGCTATATAAAACGAGCAAAGAACGCGAGATAAGGGGCGCTTTTCGTGCCGATGATTAAACACATCGACGCGCGACACACTCACATATATATAAAAAAAATTTATTTATATGCCTCACGTACACGTTTTATAGAAGAAGAAAAAAGCACGCGCATACACGTGTGCAACGGAAAGACATCGATACGACATCATTTTATTTTCTGTATTATTTCCAGGCTCGATTAATATATATAGGATGTTGTAACGAATGCGTGCTATATAATATACGCCATATATTTAAAGCAGCATTAGGCAGAGACGTTACACGGAATACGTTCGGATACAGCAGAAGCCATCCAGGAAGAGAGAGAGAGAGAAAGTGACCGGACACGAACTACGAGCTTTAAGTCCATCTTCGTTCGACGACATAATTAAGTACTACTATACATGGCAGTGCACGAGTTTGATACGTGCTTCCGACAATATTATAATATGTACGAAAAATATGTATGCGAGGCACTTGTCGCTTCAAGTGGTCGCTCGTACGTTTATGTAAGTGGCCCGTCGAGGACATTAAATTCCATTGTCATGATAATTAGGAGCGATCGAGTTGAGAGAATTAATCAAGTAGCAGTAGCAGCAGCAGGTGACAGGCCAGGAAGGAGTACAAGATGCGTCGAAAAATCTCAGCACATGTGCATCCGATTTGTAATTGGAATTCGAGCGAGCCGAGTCACGTATCGGTCATATGCTATTTTTCTTCCTAATTCACGTTTCCCCTCGTGAGCAGCACACGCGGCTCTGCTCATCTCGCCTATACGATACACACGCACACACACATACATAATGTCGCGTTTGTTTACCTTGTTCCGGTATGAGTAATAACAGCAGGCGATCGCTCGTTTAAACGCATCGATACTCGTGCCAGATTAACCTAATCGGAATTCCGCTATTATTCCGGGAAACGGATCAAAGTCCGACTTGGTCGTATGTACACAGACAGACGAAAACACGGGCGTTACTTTGCATATTATCAGTGCTACTATAAACAAGCAACGAAGAGAACGACGATTCGGTGCGTTTGCACGACTCGGAGATAATAATAAGATTCGCCAAAGCGTTTTGCAGACTTTTTCTTTCAAGTTGGACAAGAGTTCATGCTCGGAAAACGGAAATACATTAAAAGGTGCTCGTTCGCAGCGGAGAAATGCCAATAAAATTTGTAAACTCGCTCCCCGATCCCGGCACCTCCCACTACCGACTCTTTATGAATACACACACACGCGCGGATACAAACACGCCTGCGGCTTGTAAAGAGCAAAAGTTGCACGAGTGTAGGAGAGGATATGTATGTTTAGGGTTGTAACTCGAGAGAACAATACACAGATTGCTCGAGCTCGATCGAAAAACGAGAGAAAAGATGATTTCCATGCATACCTTATTCGTGCAGACGATGTCCGGTTTCGTTGACGTCGTCGCTTCTAGGACGAAGCGGCCCTCTTCTGCTCCTCTTGATCGAGAGAGAGAGAGAGCGCGAATCTATCGTCGCTCCAGCGCGCGTGTTGCACGACGACGTAAAGCGCGTGTGTATGTGTGCGTCGGTGACGATAAGGCTACCGTCGTCGCCGCCACCACCACCACCCGATGTCTTCGTCGTCGTGTTTCGCGAGTGAGCGACAGAGAGAGAGAACAATGAGCTTATACGGCTATCTTCGGCACTAACCAGCGGTAGCGGTAGTCTTCTCTTGGCTGATTCTGCTGCTCGTCACTTCCAAGCTCATCTGTCCAGTGCGCGCGATGATTTTGATTCGACAATTTACACGCACAAACTGGACGCATTTATAATAAATTGTATAAGTGCCACCACACCACGTTTTATGCCTTTTTTTGCGATCGATAACAATTCTCCTTGCTCTACTAGACACTCGCGTTTCAAACTCGGGTCCAACTCGGTAGAGCTTCTTGCCCTCTCAACACTCGTTAAACAAAAACAGAAACAAAAAGAAAAAATAAATAAAACAAATAAACAGCAACGATGGCACACCGACCGAACGTAGTATACGATTATGTAGTTTCCTCCTGTATACTACGAACAACACACAAACATATTCTCAAGTTTTTCCTCTTGGCTTACTCGTGCGACACATGCAGACACAGCACAGAGAACATGGATTGCGCCGAGCAGTACGTATATATGTACAACAATGAGATGAAATTGTTTACACACACAGCACTCGCGAGAGAAGAAATTCCTAAATGCACACGCACCGTACTAATATTAATAAATTTCCGCACTGTGTGAAAAGTAATGGTTTTGTTGTTCCTTTATGTATCGTGTACACACTGCATTTTATACAGGTAATGTGTGTGTGTATGTATTATGCGGCTCTCTCAGCTCGATGAGCTTTGCTGTGGGTCGCGGGAACTGTAAACTGGCTGCGGTCCGTCACGACGCGCCGAGGTTTCGTTCACGACTAAAGCTGCGCCGCTGCTCGTCGGCTCAGGCTTGGCTCGTAGTGGCGGCGGCGGCGGTCTGCGCATTTCCAATACATATACATGTGTGTCTGAGTGTGTGTGTGTGTGGTAGGCGACGGCGCGTCGAACCACCACCACCACCACCAACACCACTACTACAGTTACACTGACATACACACATACAATAGGCAGCACAAGACCAACGTCGCTCGCTCGATACAGTCGCTCTCTGCACCGTCTCGTTTTTCTTACATATAATATAGGTAAGGTAAGAGCGAGCGTTTGTTTGTGTGTGTGTGTGTGTGTGTGTGTGTGGCATGTGCAGTGCAGCCGCAGCAAGAGCGAGCCGAGTTCCGCAACGAGTCATCGCCGCCGAATGCCATGCCAATTGCCGCAGACGCGAGAGAAACAAAGACGGACGATCGCAAATCCTGATTCTCTCCCCATAAATGTAATACGCGAGTATCCTTAAGGTCCTCTCACATACGAATGTGTGTGAGTGCATTACAATGTACATATAGATGTATGCACGTGTGATGGAGCGTATAAGCGAGAGCTCGTCGTAATGTAAGCGGGCGCGAGTATAGGTAACGAGCTATGCTTCCGCAAGTAGTATGTAACGATCTACACATGCTTACATCTCTTGCACTTACGTGCATATATATATAGGCACACATGTGCGCGAATACGTAACTCGAGTATAAAGTCCAAGCACATTCGCATACATACAAACTTACGTGCATATCGGCATACACATGTATGGCCCAATAAGTACTCGGGGTACTTTTTGTGCAGCATGATTATGGATACATGCAGGATCGCGGTATTTATTCGCATTCTCGGCAGCAGCAGCGGCTATACAGCGAGTTGTGTTTTGGCTCTCGTCGCTGGAGCAGAGTAGGGGGGAAAGCAGAGAAAAAGAGGGTGGACTGGCTGCCGAGGGGGGGCAAGGAAGCGCTCCGACTGCTCCGAGAGAACGAGTCAGCGGCGCGAACGATTCGTCGCTGCTATATGCTGCTGGTATTTTAGCGCTTCTTTATGTATTTGTATTACGTGTGTGTGTGTGTGTGTGTGTGTATGTGTTTTTGCCCCCACGCAACAGCAGCAGAAGCATCGAGCTACAGCCACGAGCATGGCAACGGAGAGTACACCGAGTCTCTTCTGATGATGATGCTGCTGCTGCTGAGTTCGCTCGGTCGGAGCCACAGATGCGACGACGGAAATAACTGCGCGCGCGAGAGAGAGAGAGAGAGAGAGAGAGAGCGATTAGCAACTTTACACGAAGCGCCTATGTGTGTGCGTGTGTATAGTTTGTGATACAAGCGCAAGTTTATAGTTGCGCTTGCAATGCGCAAAGCTCGCAATAATCCACACGTGAAAAGTGTTAAACGTCCCGTCGTTTATGCAGTCCGATATTCCATCTATGAGCTGATCCGTAATCTCGGATGCAACTGCAGCATACGTTCGATTCGCTGCTTTCCGGTTGTACACGATCGGCGTGTAACGTTCGGCGCTCTGCCAACGATGCCAACGACACCGCGCAGCCGATCGTTTTTGATTCTCCTTGTATATATACATATGAGACCAGTACTGTAAGCAGCAACGAAAGCGAATGTGCGAGCAAAGTCGGGATCTTTATACTCGACTCGCGTTTATTGCACACACACGCACACACGATCGTAGCCGGTGCAAGCGCGAAATTTTATGCCGAGCTCGCAGTAGTGGTACATACCACTGGTATGGGGGAGGCATGGAGGAATGATGACGCCGCGCGAACAGACACCGAAGCGCGACCCATGCCAAAGACGAGAGACTCGACGCCTGCCTATATGTCGTTTGGCTTAACAAATGTTCCAAAGCGTCGAATGCTCCCTTTTTTATTCCTCTTTTTCTTTTTTTGCTTCCACGTCGTCGCGCGATTTAAAACAACTCATATGTGTAGCTATTCGGAACCTGCCGCACTCTGTGTGTCGGCCTGTAAGAACGTATAATCAACAGATTATATGATTTCCAATGGCTGTCCTGTGCACAAATCGAGCAGCGAACGTTTTTCAAAAATTCACCTTTTCTTTTGCCTCGTCATCCATGTAAATGATTTTCATAATCAGCAGCACCATTTTATAAACCAGCGAAATTTCATTTATATAAATTAATACTTTCAATTACGAACGGCCAATGAAATTTCTATCGGATAAAAATTAAATAAATGACGGACAATAACGACTCCAACGGCAAAATATGCATCTACATTAGAGAGAACATTCAAAGGCCGTGGGAGCGCTTTAGATCCAAGGGGAAAATACCTTTTTTCTATAACTTAACTTGCGTGATTTTTCAAAAAACTTCACACTTTTTATTCGACACAATTAATGATTGTCCATTTATTTATACTTCATATTTTGGATTTTTCGATGACTCATAAATTTTGCCCTGGCAATTCGTATATCTTGATGTTGTACCTCGGCCGCGGGCTTTAACTTTCCTTTAACAGCAAAATGAACATGCACAAGTGTTTATGAAAACTATTTGATGAAAGATGAAAAAAGAAGTTATGGCGATTCAAAGATTCTTTGAACTGAATCGGTGACATTAGTGCTCTCTCTCAAGTTTTGAGCCATGGCGTATTATTATTATTATCTATCCTTCGGCTTTCAAATTGATTTAAATCAAATTGCCAAGAGATCGATCATAAGTTTTGACGAGGAAGCTAGCTACCACGAGCCTCGTCTCTCGCAAACACCTGAGCGACGAAAAAACAAAAGGATATCGAGTAGTGTCTCGTAGGGCTGCCATAGCAGTACTCGAATCGATACAATCGTTTCGACTATGTTGATGGATTATTCCTAATCGAGTTTTGCATTAGTAGATCTGAATCTAGCCAACATTTTTATTCCATCGAAATAGATCGAAAATCTGACGTTGAAACTGCAAGTTTAATGCGTCTCGAGCAGATATCCTCCTTTTTTTTGCGTAAATATTGAACGGGTAGATGAAGATGCCAATAATATCATTATCTAATTTAGCTTTCGAGTAGAATTTGGTCGGAGCATCAGCATGAAGCGTATGATCGAAGTGTAATTCTACTATTATTAAATATGCTCACTGTATAGGCAAAACTTGACTCCGCTGCTGCAGTTTCGTTGAATAATTTAAATTGCTTCGTGCTAATTTTGCAAAGCCAAGCAAAATTGGCGTTACTGAAATAATAATTCGACGCTGGAGCTTTCTATCGCAAAGCTTCGAAAAAAATACAAGGAGAAGAAGAAGAATGAAAATTCAACATCGGTCTCGAGTTTTATCGTAATTTCTACTAGTCTAATTGATGAGCGAGAAGAAGGAAAATATATAAGTTTCGTAAGAGATGTAAAACGAGGTAAAAAAGCGTCTCAAGATCGGTATCTCGTAATCTCGTTAGCATCTCTATAATTTTCTAATCGGAAACGAGTTTATAAAATAATATAAAAGGTAAATCCAAACAAGTCGTTAAACGCAGTGCGCCGTGGGCAATTAGCGCATCTGGTCGTTCTCCGTTCGTTTAGACATAAATCGTTGGTACGTACACGATTTTTACGAAAAATAAAAAGAAGAAAGTTGACTCGAAACAATGTTTAAATGTGACGCTGGGTGAAATTTTTGCGAGATTAGTTAAGCTCGTATAGGTAAAAAAATATCATTATCTCGATTAAAAATCGCCGATAATTGTAATAACCGAGTTGTATTAATTATGTCATTCGGCGAGCTTGATTCTTTTTAATATTTTTTGCCATTATCTCTCATAAAACTTATTTATCGCACGTGATATCTACAAGGAGATCTGCCAGATATTATGCTTTAAAATTCACAGGAAATGTCTCGAAGCCGCGGCGATCCGTCGTACAAACGACCGATCGGCCGAGTTAAAATATAGCCCTACCTCCTCGTACGTCCACGTATCATAACGATCGGCAACTAATCGGCGCCCACTCGTTTATTAAATGCGAGCATCGGCCCATTGTCTTCTCTTCCCGTTCGTCGACTCTCTCGCAGCAAAAAAAAGAAGAAGAGAAATCAAAATTAATCATTATATATAATTTTTGTTGGGTTTTGCGCGGGCAGCTATTTAATCGCGATCGATGTTAAATAATCTTTACGTGTACGCGACGAGGCTGATCTTTGCACCCAAATAGCGGCTGTTTGTGTGTACAAAATATAATTTGCGAGTCGACGATCCTCAAGGCCGTTTACACGTTCGCGAAATAGTATAGGTACGATATCGTCGTATGTGGGTTAGCAGGTGCAATTTTTTTTAATTTATATAAATAAGTAACGCGTAAAATATATAACGAGTGTACGAGTGAGAGAGATAAGGGTATTGAAGGAAATCATCGTTGCTCGAGTGGTTCGAAGCCGTCGAAAAATCTTGATAAACTTTTGTCGAGAGCTCTGATTGTAACACATAAAACATGTCGAGATATAGACGTAGTAGTACGTCTTTGACATTTTTGACCCGTAAATCATATTTAGCTCGAGTAGCGCATTCTACTTTCGACTCGCTGCGGGACTGTTAAATGACCCTAGGTTAGGAATTTAAATGGCCCCTAGACTACGTATCTATAGTTGCCAAGGAATTATCCAAGGTGTCCTTGTTTTCCCCGCATCGCAGCAGCATCCGCAGTAGCACCTGAGAGCTATATGGGCTGCCCCTAATATTATCGATTTATGTACAAGAAAAAAATTGCCCGAAAGAATAGAGGCGGCGCGCGTTACGTTGCAGAAGAAGAAAAGTCAGCGCTGCAGCAGATCGTGGCCCGTCTCTCTTTTCTCCGCGCGCGTTCTGTACAAAATAAGAGAGACGAAGAAGAAGAAGAAGAAAAAGAAGAAGAAGGTATATTATAACGGTCGCCAGTCTAATTTTTTTCCCATGAAACTCCCCCATCATCATCTGCTCGGCAACCCTCGGCTTCTTCTTCTGGCTCAAGACGTTCAGCGAATCTCGTCGAAGAAATAAA